TCCTATAACTATGTTGGTTAGATTTCTTAAAGCAGTCATGGCATAAGACTCCACAACTGAGGAACTGAAGACTCACGGGGAAAATAGGGTTAAAAGACCAAGGTTTGAGTCACTCTAGAAAAGCTTTTATATTAAAAGCATTTTTACATGAAGTAAGAGAATCCAAACAACATAATATATAATATCTTACAGCTTTTATTAGCTATACTAGATTTTGTATAATTAACCATACCTTGCTCCCCAGAAATTTTTTAGTATCTCCCACCACTCCTATTCAAAGAGATGATTACAAATTCATTTTTGGAATAAGATAAGCATTACCCTGATACCAAAACCAGACAAAGACACCAGAAAAAAAATTCTGATGAACATGGATGCAAAAATCCTCAATAAAATACTAGCAAACTGAATCCAACAATACATTAAAAAAGTCATTCACCACCATTAAGTGAGATTTATTCCCTGGGATGCCAGAGTAATTCAACATTCGCAAACCAATGTGATACATCACATCAATAAGAGAAAGGATAAGAACCATATAATCATCTCAAAGATGCAGAAAAAGCACACCATCCATTCATGATAAAAGCCCTCGGCATAATAAAGGCCATTATGTGAAAAACCCACAGCGAACATCATCCTCAGTGGGGAAAAACTGAAAGCTTTCCCTGTAAGGTCAGGAACAAGACAAGGATGTCCACTCTCCCCACTTTTATTCAACATAATACTGGAAGTCGTAGCCACAGCAATTAGACAACAAAAAGAAATAAAAGGTATCTAAATCGGTAAGAAAGAAGTCAAACTTTCATTATGCGCAGATGACATGACCCTCTGAAAAACTGCACCAAAACAACAGCTAGAACTGATAAACAAATTCAGTACAGTCACAGGATACAAAATCAGTTTATAAAAATCTGTTGCATTTCTAAATACCAATAATGAAGCTGCAGAAAAAGAAATTAACAGAACAATCTCATTTATAATTTCACCAAAAACAGTAAGATAACTAGCAACAAACCTACCCAAAGAGGTGAAAGACCTATACTCTGAAAACATAAAACACTGATGAAAGAAACTGAAGACACAAAGAAATGGAAAGACATTCCATGCTCATGGATTGAAAGAACAAATATTGGGCAGCCTGGTGGCTATAGATCGGTTACATCGTCGACTTCCAGCCAGGTCACGATCTCCACTGACGCATTGAGTCAGAAGCCCAGCGACCGAGGAGCTCTGGGCTGATATCCAGAGCCTGGCTATGTTTCCGATTTGTTCTCCTCTCTCCCCTCCCCTGTTATGCTGTCTCTCTCTCGATGAAAAATAAAGCGTAAGGGAAAAAAAAAAAAAAAATTAAAAAAAAAAAAAAAGAAAAGAACAAATATTGCTAAAATGTCTTTACTACTCATAGCAATCTGCACATTTAATGCAATCCCTATCAAAATACCAACAGCATTTTTCACAGAACTAGAACAATCCTAAAATCTGTATAGAACCACAAAAGATTCCTAATAGCCAAAGTAGTCTTGAAAAGGAAAAAAAAGCAAAGCCAGAGGCTTCACAATGAATTCATAACTCAAGTTATATTACAAAACTGTAGTTATCAAAACAGTATAGTACTGGCACAATAGAGACACATAGATCAATGGAACAGAATAGAAAACTCCAAAATAAACCCACAATTATATGGCCAATCAATCTTTGGCAAAGAAGGAAAGAATATCCAATGAGAAAAAAGTCTCTTCCACAAATGGTATTGGGAAAACTGGACAGGAACATGCAAAAGAATAAAACTGGACCACATTCTTAAATCATACACAAAAATAAATTGAAACAAATTGAGGACCTAAATGTGACAACTGAAACCATAAAAATCCTAGAAGGGAACATAGGCAGCAACTTCTTTGACATCAGCTGTAGCAACTTTTTTCTAGATAGGTCCCCTGAGGCAACGGAAACAAAAGTAAAAATAAACTTGGGGACTACATCAAATTAAAAAGCTTCTGCACAGTGAAGGAAACAACAAAACTAAAAGGCGGCCTACAGAATGAGAGAAGATATTTGCAAATGACATATCTGATAAAGGGTTAATATCCAAAATATATAAAGAAGTTCTAAAACTCAGTACCCAAAAATCAAATAATCCAATTAAAAAATGGGCAGAAGACATGAACACTTCTCCAAAGATATCCAGACAGCCAACAGACACATGAAAAGATGCTCATCGTCACTTATCATCAGGGAAATGAAATATCTCCTCACTACAATGAGGTATCACCTCATGCTTGTCAGAATGGCTAAACTAAAAACGCAAGAAACACCAACTGTTGGTGAGGATGTGGAAAAAAGAACTTTTGTGCACTACTGGTAGGAATGCAAACTGGTGCAGCCACTGTGGAAAACAGTATGCGAGTTCCTCAAAAAATTAAAAAAAGAACTAAAAAATTAAAAGAAGAAAATAAAAAAAAGAACCCTAGGGTCTAGTAATCACACTACTGGGGGTTTTTAACCAAAGAATACAAAATCCTAACTGTAAAAGGATACATGCACTCCCTCCCATGTTTACTGCAGTATTATTTTCCGTAACTGTGGAAGCAGCCCAAGTGTCCACTGATACATGAATGGATGAAGGAAGTGTACAAACACACACACACACACACACACACACACACACACACACACACACACACACTAATATTATCCAGCCATAAAGAAGAATGAACTCTTGCATTTACAACATGGATGGAGCTAGGAAATATAATGCTAAACAAAATAAGTTAGTTGGAGAAAGATAAATGCTGTATGATTTCACTGAAATGTGGATACATGAATGGATGAAGGAAGTGTACAAACATACACACACACACACACACACACACACACACACACACACAGGAATATTATCCAGCCATAAAGAAGAATGAACTCTTGCATTTACAACATGGATGGAGCTAGAAAATATAATGCTTAACAAAATAAGTTAGTGGAGAAAGATAAATGCTGTATGATTTCACTGAAATGTGGAATTTAAGAAACAAATCAATAAAGGGAAAAAGACAAACTAAGAAACAGACTGTTCATTATAGAGAACAAACTGATGGTTACCACAGCGGAGGGAGGGTAGGTGGATGGGTTAAATAGATGTTGGAGATTAAAGAGTACACTTGCTGTGATAAGCACTGGGTGATGTATGGAACTGTAGAATCACCATATTGTAGACCTGAAACTAATATTGCACTGTATGCTAACTAACTGGAGTTAAAATAAAAACTTAAAGAGGGCACCTGGGTGGCTCAGTTAAGCATCTGACTCTTGATTTCAGCTCAGGTCATGACATCGTTGTTCATGAGATTGAGCCCCTTGTCGGGCTCTATGCTGACAGTGAGGAACCTGCTTGGGATTCTCTCTCTCCCTCTCTCTGTGCCTGTCCCTGCTATCTCTTTTTCTCTCTCTCTCAGAATAAATAAATACACTTTAAAATAAAAAAAAACATAAAACCTCTTTAAAAATAATAATAAGGGGCGCCTGGGTGGCGCAGTCGGTTAAGCGTCCGACTTCAGCCAGGTCACGATCTTGCGGTCCGTGAGTTCGAGCCCCGCGTCAGGCTCTGGGCTGATGGCTCAGAGCCTGGAGCCTGTTTCCGATTCTGTGTCTCCCTCTCTCTCTGCCCCTCCCCCGTTCATGCTCTGTCTCTCTCTGTCCCAAAAATAAATAAATGTTGAAAAAAAAAAAATTTAAAAAAAAAAAAAAATAATAATAATAATAATAAAAACTTAAAAAAAAAGAAATCCCGCCACTTGCAACAACATGGATGGACTTTGAGGGCATTATGCTAAGTGAAATAAGACACAGAAAGACACACACTGCATGATCTTACTTATATGTAGAATCTTTAAAAAAAAATGGATTCATACATATAAAGAATATTGGTGATTGCCAGAGGCAGGGGGTGGAAAGTTGGCCAAAATGTAGTCAAAAGGTCTAAGCTTCCAGTTATAAGGTAAATAAATCCTGAGGATGTAACATACCGTATGGTGACTGTAGTTAACAATACTATAGTTACTGCAGTAACTATACCGTAGTAACTGTACTGTATTTGAAAGTTGCTTAGAGAATAAATCTTAAAAGTTCTCATCACAAGAAAAAAATGCGTAACTATGTTTGATAATGGATGTTAACTAAATTCATTGTAATCACTTTGAAATATATAAATAAATCATTATGTTGTATATCTATAAGTAATACAATGTTGTATGTCAATTATATCTCAAAAACTAATAAAATATTCCCATCAAAAACCAAAACAAAGCTGAAAATGTTGGCATCTTCCAAATGCTTCTTCTACCACCAAATAAAGTCCAGATTCATTAGAGGGAAAAAAAACCATCCACTTTCATTTCTTAAAGATGTACCTATTAACAGTCTTTTTAATTTCCCTGTGTTTGAGCCTCCACCCTACCTGCCTTTTTATTCAATACTTTTATGATTCAATAACTTCAAATAATTGATTCTTACTTCTGAGTTCCCACTGCCCTGGAGATGCTTTCAGTAAACTGCTAAACTGTTATTCCACAAACCACAAACTTCTTCTCTGTACACAATGTCCTACAATCTCAGCACCTCTGCTTGTACAATTTTATGCCAAATTCATAAAATGGCATTCTAACACAGAACTCTCCAGACTAATTTTTCAACTGCCTACTTTCTATAATCCCAATGCATCCAGAGTATAATTCTAAAAACTGGGTTGTTTCCTCAGCTTCTTTATCTCCCTGGAGAGTCCAGGGGAAATAACTGCTACGGCTGAGCAAACTGCTTTTTTTTCTCATTTCTATTCCCAAGCTCCAATTCTTTCTACATATGTATTTCCAACAGGAGGCTCTCAAAATATATTTTAGAATTAAAATTCTGGGGCTTGAGGAAACTATATCCATGTAAACGAGCAGTCTTCAGAGAAGTAGCGATTGGGGAAGAATTACATATTGTAAACATTTTCCAGTTACCTGACTCCTGTTTGATTTGAATGGTAGGCTTGATACCAGGTGGCAAAGGAGACTGCTGAGGCTGTTGCTGATGAGATACTGGAGCAGGCTGGGCCACCTGCTGCTGGGTCTGTTGCTGCACTTGATGTAACTGCTGCTTAGGAGACTGTTGATGCTGTTTAGGAAACTGTGCAAGAATCTGAGTTGGGGCACCCACTAAACTTTTGGGGGAAGGAAGTCTGGTCGATGCCATTTTGATCGCTGATGTAGATACGCCTGTAGAAGAGTAAGGGGAAAAGAACTTATTTAACAGTAAAGCATACTTAAAGATACTTCTTTTTAAAAAATTTTTTAATACATTTAAAAAAAATTTTTTTTAATGTTTATTTATTTTTGAGAGAGAGACAGAGCATGGGCAAGGGGGAGGGACAGAGAAGAGGAGACACAGAATCTGAAGCAGGCTCCAGGCTCTGAGCTGTCAGCACAGAGCCCGACGCGGGGCTCGAACTCACGAACTGTGAGATCATGACCTGAGCTGAAGTTGGACCCTCAACCGACTGAGCCACCCAGGCGCCACTAAGATACTTCTTATACTAGGTAAATTGATAAAAACAATGACTTATTAAGCACCTATTAAATGTCATATATAACATATGGTATTTTATATATTCACTGTACAGTCCTCAAACCTTGCAAGGGAGGCATGATTGCTCTCACACTCAAAAAAACTGATTTCCCTTGGTGGACAGTTAGAATGAAAGAAACACAGAATAAGGAAGGATATTCACACATGTCTCTCAGGAAATTTTCTGTTAGAAAATACAGGTTCTTAATGTGAATAATAAAAGAATAAGTCAAACTAAGTTTTGAATTTTATTTGTAATACATTTTTTTTAAATATTACTTTTCAAGTTCTGGTAAGTCAATTTAAACAAGACATGAGAAAATATCTCACACTGAAACATTCATCTTTTGAACTTTTCAGCATGACAAAGTAGTTTTTCTAGGTCTCATTTCTGATAATCTATAAATTAAAGTCATTTCTTGAGAACTGTCATTAAATAATCTGTGAAAATTACAAGTGGGCGTACTCAATATATCCACAGAAAAAAAAATCTTTTTTTTCACATTTATTTATTATTTAATTTTTTTTTTTTTTTTTTTTTTTT